CAGCAGCAGCAGCAGCAGCAGCAGCAGCAGCAGCAGCGGCGGCGGACTTCTGCGACGTAGAGGAGAGTGTACCCCTTGTAGGGGTAGGCGACGACGTGTTGGGGCCTGGCGAGCTTCTGGCTGGAGGTGGCGGAGGAGGAGACTTCGGAGACAAAGACGGAGGAGACAGTGGAGACATCGTACTGCAGCAGCAGCAAACGGTGGGCCGTTTCGTCAGCCACGTAGCAGTCGAAGAGACTGGAGACAGTTCTCTCGGGAGTCTCCACGCAGAAGAGGCCCATGGGGGCCTCCAGGGGGCGGGCCAGCCCGGGCCAGGCCCCGCGGGCCTCGAGCAGCTGCAGGCTGCTGCTGAAGAGCAGCAACTGTCTCCTTTTGCTGTCGGAGACGAGCAGGAAGCAGTCTGTCTCCGTCTGCAGCAGAGCCAGGGCCTGCGGGGCCTGCAGCGCGGCCTCGGCAGCAGCAAAAGGAGACAGCTGGTCCAGGTGCTGCGGCTGCGTCAGGTCGTAGCCCGCGAGGCCCAACTGTCCCCCCCCCAACTGTCTCCTCCCCACAACGTAAAACGCCACTCTGTCTCTGTTTGCATGCACGGCCAGGGCCCTCGCGCCGGGGGCCCTGAAGAAGGCCAGGCGCTGTGGGGCGGGGCGGCTGCGGGAGGAGCTCCAGGCCCTTATTGCGTTGTCTCCGACCCAGAAACTCAGCGCCTTGGGAAAGTCTCCTTCCAGAAACACCTTCCCAACTGTCTCCTTTTCGAAGCAGCTGCTGCTCGAGGCCCCCCAGTGCAGCCCCAGCGCGCTGAACTTCGCCACGCTCATTGTGAAGGTCCCCTCGGGGACTCCGGGGGGCCCCTGGGGGCCCCCCTGAAACACTTCCAGCCGGTAGCTCAGGGCCCGCCCCACATGTGCAAACCCTAGAGACACCATTTTGTCTCCTCGCAGCAAACACACTTCCAAGCTGCTGCTGCTGCTCGCCTTCTCCACCTCGCTGCTCACCGTCACTTCCCTGCAAACACACCCTCGCTCCCGCGCGCGTAGGGTTTAGGGTTTAGGGTTTAGGGTTTGGGGCTGGGGCCAGGGTTCAGGGCTTAGGAGCGGCGCGCGCCGCGTTCGCGTTCTGTCTCCGCGAGGGCTGGCGGCGGCCGCTAGGGTTTAGGGTTTAGGGTTTGGGGTTTGCGCGGACTCGGCCACGAAGAACTTGGGGTCTGCGGCGTGTCTGCCGAACGCCTCGCGAACCTCCGTGGGCTTTCCCACCGCGGAGCCCCCGCAAGGAGTCTCCGCCAAAGTGGCCAAGTAAATGCTGCTGGGCGAAGGTGTCTCCACCTGTCCCCTCGCGCGAATGAACAGCGGGAAGGGACGGTCTCCCGCGCTCGCGGAGTTCGGCACGTACAACGCGTAAAAGTGGCGCCGCAGATCCACCCCTGAAAGGAGACAGACACCCCACGCCCCACACATTTTGGGGACAGACACTCCACGCCCCACAGATTTGGGGGACAGACACCACGCCCCACACTCTGGGCTACAGACACCCCACGCCCCACAGTCTGAGGAGACAGACACCCCACGCCCCACAGATTTTGGGGACAGACACCCCACACCCCACAGCAGTCTCAGGGGACAGACAGCCCCCACACACGCCCCTGAGGGGTACAGACAAAGACCAGGGCCAAGAGAGAACTGGGGACGTCTCCCCAGGTGGCTAGACACCTCAAAAGGAGACACAGGTCCTCAGACACTCCACAGAGACACCTCCAGGTGTACAGACACCCCAGAGCTCCGTACTGACACCTCCGCCAAGTCTAGAAGCCCTCAAGTCCCCAGGGGACCCTCCAGGCCCAAAGAGACCCCAAGTCCCCTCAGAGTCCCCTCAAAGTCCCCTCAAGTCCCTCCAAGTCCCTCCAAGTCCCCCCAAGCCCCCCAGAGTCCCCTTAAGCCCCCTTAGACTTTCTGAGTCCTCCTAAACCCCCCAAGTCCCCCCTGAGTCCCCTC